TTTTAAGTGGGAGAACCTGTACAATTGGTGGCTGACTAAATACTTTTTTGCCCCACTGTATCTCTCATCCTTCTGAGGGAAAATCAAAGGGGCACAAAGCTGCATAATCAGGGAATGGCCACCACAGATAACTTACGAGTCATATTTGTTTTTTAAATTGGATCAGCCTTGCACAGACAGAGTAGGAGCACTGTCAAAATGTGCTCTAGGCTTTTCTCCTTACTTTGTGCAAAACCAGTCAAATTTGAAACCCCCTGTGACAGAAGATCAAGACTGAATTGTAAAATGTATGTGGTATATTTCTTTCCCAACATCAACTCCAGTTAATCTTTAGTTACATTCACAGGTGGGTCTCACAAACTGATATATCATTTTTAAGGGATCATGATTTTTTAACCCAAATTCAGACATCTGTAAATAAACTCTTTAAAACTGGGAAAGAAAAAACATCTCAATTCCTATGTCAGGCATTTCAGAAAACAATATTTATACTGGTCATATAAAGCACCATACAATGTTTGTAATTTGAACATTTAAATTAATTTTGGAACTGAATGCAAGACATAATTTAGCATCCCAATTTAGTATTCAGTTATAACTGCTAAAAAAGTCCTGCATTGCCTCAGGGGCCACATTTGCTTGCAGAAGATATCACAAAATCATACCCAAAAATGTTTATAAATGATCCAAATACAGCAAAAAAAAAGAAAGCTTAAAGCAAAATGGACTGCCTAAGCCATGAAATGTTATAACTAATATATAGTTTACATTTTAGTATGAAATAGACAGTGGTATATTAAAAAGCATGCTCTATCAGTCTGCTGAGTGAAAGCAATGATTTAGAAGCACAATACATTTTAAACTCATGATTCAGGTGCCATTTGGTTGCATCAGAAAATGTTTTCCTTAGTGCGCAACCACTCTGTAACTAAGTTTTCCATGCTTCATCTAAGAATGTTAAGAAAATTAAATTAAACAATTCAACATGTTAGCCCTGCCAAAACATATTAGCTATTTTTTCATAACAACAACCCCCTCTATATAATCTTCTCATATGAAAACTAGGAAGAAAATGTAAGGCCATGTTTACCTGTCTTCTAATTCTATTCTTTTCATACTGTGAAGATGCAAAACAGCTAATATTATTGCTACCAGGAATATGACTGCACAGCAAACTCCTACACTGATGTAAAACACACGTGTAGACGTGGTGGGAGCTGCATTTACAGGATCAACTGAAATTGAAAAAAGAATTCAACAAAGAATTACTGAAAACTAAATGAACATAATATTTGACAGTTTTAAGTTCAAGAACAAATTAATTTTTATCTTATGCATACATAGAGCTGAAAATTTCCTTTGCAGAGATTTACATTTTAAAAATGCATTGATGCCACATTCAAATTCAGTTTATATCTAGTGCATATTGTTAATAACAAATATAAAATTATTTATGTATAAAGGTGACTGATAGCAAAATGTAATATACAGGCTGTTGAATCAGTTACTCTAAAAACAACATGGCAGGAACTTAATGATACTGAAACAGCTTTATTTATTTATTTATACTTCATTTGTATGCCATCCATTCCCAAAAGCTCTGGGTGGCTAGCAGTCAAGAACAGCATGAAATAAAAAGCCCACTCCCCCAAATAAGTATAAAATAATAAAGCCATCCATAATATAAAGAAGACTGACAATATCAAAATAACAAACAGAAAATATACAGATGTATTTATTTATTTCATTTATATGGCTGCTCAGCTTTGACAAGGTAGCTCTGGGTGGCATACAAAACTCTATGCCTACCAGATTCTAACCTGCACTCGCAATGTTCCCTCCTGCTGAATTAGATGGAAGAATCAGTCTTACCAGACAGGCACAATCAAGCAGGCACTAGCCCAGGAAAGGTGGTTTAGTATTTATTTTATGTAGAATTTATTTTATTTTATGATATTGATGATGCTGAAGCATAAACTGTTAGTTTGGCTAATATTCTTAGTATCCAAGGTAGTTTCCCAGTACTAAGTATCTTAGTATCTTTTAATGAACAAGAGGAGGGAAAAAAAGTTTGAAGGTCTGACCAAATTTTCATAATTCAATAGCAGTTTGGGAAGAATTTAGTTTCTTATTTCTATATGAGCAGGTAATTCAGAAAGAATGTACGTGATTGTCCTCATGCAAATGATAATATGAATTAAAATAAGGAGAAAAAATCCCCACAGTTGTATATAAACGTTTACTTACAAATGGCTTTAGTGTTATTTTTGTCTGATATTGGTGGCTTTACTTCTAAATCAAGTTCTAAAGATAAGAGAAGAAAAAAGGCATTTTAGACAAGTTTTCTTATCAACTGCTTTGTATTACAAGAGAATAAAAAAGAGTTCACCCAAGAGCCCATAGAAACCTAAACCTTTGAAGGTTTGGTCATTTAAAAATTTCTACATAATTCATGGTCTACAGAGGAAATACCATAGCATGCAGTACCATTACCTCCAAACTTCCAGTAACAAAGAGATTACAAACTATACAGCTGATTTGAAATCTATTAAAAACAAAATACCCTTGTATAAATATAGCTCTTTCACAGGAGACGGGGAGAAACATAAACTAAAATTCAATTGAGAATGTACTATGATCCCAGGAAAAAGAGATAAATAGTTGAACATATCTGTCCAACATATTTCAAGGGAACACAATATTTAACTTTCTAAATGCAATTCACATTCTAAATTCAAACCCTGACCTCTTTCATATACCTAAAAATGGAATGGAGAAAAAATCCTGTGAAACTCCTATAATCAATAAAATGTATTCTTCAAATAATATTGAAACATTATATTAAAATAGATGAGTAGATATTATCTAGCATAAAATCATATACAGTGATAAAAAGACAATTTATAATTTCACTGTAGTTATTGGGTACAATGGTCTTTCATTTCACCTTTATTTTCCTTTAGCTTTTTAAAAATTTTGTTATTGAATATCTAAATTGTTTCTCTCACACACACACCTAATTGTGGTGCCCTTAGTACTCTATTACTACCATAGTAGCTATCTACTTTAGTGGCAGAATCTACAAACTTTCTCTGTACATCTACAAACTAGATGAAGTTAAAAAGAGAAAGAGGAGCAGGGATAGAGCTTTCCAGTTCAGACGATCCTATGAAAAGTATGCAACTGACCCCTTTAAAATGAAACACAAAACAACCCACAATGACTTACTTTTATGACACATTTTCCTCCGTTTGAAATTTAAGACTGTGATATTTTTGGAAGTATTTACTGTCATGTTCAGTTGCATTAGCACTGTAACATCAAAGTCTAATTTGCCAGTACAAGACAGTTCCATCCGAAATACTGTAAATAAAAAAATAAAATGTTTTATTTTATTTAAGTAGTATGTTGTTTTAAATACCTATACCATATTTTCTTTGGTATAATTTAAAAAGCTAATATGACTCTATGAATTGTCTTTCATTTATTCTCAAATTGCCATGCATTTAAACAGAAGCATTATAGGCATTATCAATTTGATTGCCTGCTGTATTTATTATTTATTACAGTGCGTGAGCAACCATGGTCTAATTAACATAAGCTCAAAGGGCTTGAAGGCAAGGCATCAAACTGTCTTGCCTGATTAGACAGCAGCAAAATCTGGCAGCATCTGTTTTTTAGCCTTTCATGCTCTACAGCTACAAAAAAAGACTTTCTTGGTCAATGTTGAGTAGAAGCACCCAGAGTTCTTTGGTTTTACTCAAAAAGACAACCTATTTGATCCTCTTTCCTCTTGGGGAAAGAAGCTAAGGGATTCCTGGCTCCATCCTACTACAATATCAAGTATCTTGCCTGAAATGCACAATGGGAAAGGGAGATAACAGATTTCCTTGACTGCCATTCATATGAACTACAGGAGTAATAATGTTTGGTTTTATAACTGAAGATCAACCAATAATTGTAGATCCTGATTTTGAATAAGATTCCTAAGAAAAATACCAAAGTTTATTACTCTACTGAGAAGTAAATAATACCGTTCTACCATTCAGAATCAAATAGAAACATCTAATTAACATAAGAAGCCATGACTGGAAAAAATATGCCTCCCCACACATACTTCATATTTCTTTCAGGTAAGAAAAGAACTGATTATATCCCATTCATAATAAGTTAGGGTAATGAAGTCAAAATTGCAATATTTTAATTATTATTCATAAAGAATCAAAATCAAGTAGTTGAGGATACAAAAAATTGAATGCAAGGTGCAGGAAAAAAAAATCCAATTTGAATTATCAACCCATGAACAAAAATTTGGGTAAACTGACATGAATTATCAGTTCATTCATAAACAGAACATATTTTATTTGGCTAAATTACATTTTGCCCCATATGAAGTCACAAGATGGATAAAGAATGTAATGCTGGAAGCAAAATTAACTTCCTAAAACAAGATACAAGGCAAGAGATGCCCTAATACAATGACTGTGCAGGGCCAAGCTTCATTGCTTTTCAACTCTACACAAGCTAGCAAATTCTGTAGAATTCAGCTGATGGCAAATTGTAAAGTGGACAGAATACACAAAGTATAATTACAATTTGATTGGTAGGCCCACTGAAGGCTATATCTTTGCTTTATTATTAAGTTTATAAACATTCTGGTCCACCAAAGTAGGTCATACCCTTATTTCTGCTCTCCCTGGAGCTAGTAGTCCACATGTTGGAACAACATAAAAATAAATAGTTCAGTATATCTGAATATTCTGTTATATACCAGCTCTAATGGAAATGCACTCACCTGACAAAGTTCGAGGAACTTCTCCTTGTTCAGAAATATTTACCTGTGGCATCTCCATAGCCAACAGATTATCTACATGAAATCCCAGTTTATATTCAATCTATAACAATATGCAGAAAGATATCAAACCAAACATACAGTTGATAGAAGATTATCTATTTACATTTACAATGTTACATTGTTAGCAAAAAACATGTTTGCTAGGTGTCAACACCACACCTGAGGGAGATATCTAGATGAAAAATGGAACAGTGCTTTCTAAATCATTTTTATATCAAGAAGCAGAGATAACCAAAAGTGAATGAACAGGAAATAATTTTATGGTAGAAAAAAATATACATTTCTTCATAAATGTGTTCAATGCTGGAATATTTAATGCTCTTTGCTTTATTAAGCTGGGTGCCAAAATGTCAATGTTGAAGTTATACTGAAATATTTAATATTTGAACTATACCGAAATACTTAAAGCAAAAGGCAACTAATCTCTCATATTTCACTCATTATTTACTCATAACAGATGTTATTTGAGTTGTCATCTACATAATTTACCAAAATTGAATTAAATAGATTTACACATACTGGTATGTGCCTGCACAGAGTTCCATCTGGAGTAATTTAAAGCTTATAAAATTCAGAAAAGAAACCCCATTATTTCTGCATGGGATTGTAATTAGGTGGGGTTCATGTTGAAACCCTCAGTTCCAAGGATTGACACAACAATCTGAGAGGAATAATGAGGCCCTCTAATAATGAGCAAAACAGGACAGCAGGTTATGTGAATTTTGCAGTTGATTTTTTGAAGAACCTCAATTACAGCTACGTAATCAGTTCTTCTGCAACATGATTCTACTATTCACACTACACAATGGTAATTATCTAGCTTACTACCTGGAGTAAATGTGAATCTTAAAAGAATTTTTTTACTCTTCTTTCTTGATTTTTTCCCCAAGTCAGGGCATGTAAGAAATCTCAGAATATTTCTGAGCTAGAGGACTTCTGCAAGAAGATTTGGAAAAACATTCCAGAAGGAAGAATAACAAGACTTTTAACTGGCTGCAGGAAATATTTGGAATCTAAACTTACACAATCAACTGCATATTCATGAAAATTGAATCATTACTTGACCTATCTGAACAACAGAGCCTTCTTTTACACTAATTGCTTTCCATAAACTGTTTTATTAGGACTTAAATTAAGACATTAATGGCCACCATGTCCAATTTTTAATGACTGAAAAAATGTAAATGATAATGCCATTGCTCAATTTTCATGTTCCTTGTTCATACATTTTGTTTGGCTCTGATACTCAAGACAACTGGCCAGGTCTCTACTCTTCCAAATTCAGTCCCATTTTAATGCATACTTTCTCAAAAACATCCGAATGTCTTCAGTGATTTTAACTACTTGGAAGGTATATATATAAAGCAAGTCTTAGTAATGCACAATGGAACTTGTATTCCAAACATACATGCATAAAATTGACTATTGTCTGTGATCTTTACACTATCCTCTAGCAAAGGATAATCTGACACTAAGTATCCTGAGCAACACTATCATA